CGTACACATCACTGACAAACTGAAATGGTCCACCCACTTAGACAGTGTGGTGAAGAAGGCGCAACAGAGCCTCTTCAACCTCAGGAGGCTGAAGAAATTTGTCTTGGCACCTAGAACCGTCACAAACGTTTACAGATGCACAATTGAGAGCATCCTGTCGGGCTGTATCACCGCCTGGTATGGCAACTGCACCGCTCGCAACTGCAGGGCTCTCCAGAGGGTGGTGCGGTCTGCCGAACGCATTACCGGGGGCAAACTACCCGCCCTCCAAGACACCTACAGCACCCGATGCCACAGGAAGGCCAAAAAAGATCATCAAAGCCACTGCCTCTTCACCCCGCTATCATCCAGAAGGCGAGGTCAGTACAGGTGCATCAAAGCTGGGACCGAGAGAATGAAAAACAGCTTCTATCTCAAGGCCATCAGACTGTTAAATAGCCATCACTAGCACATTAGAGGCTGCTGCTGCCTATTGAAATCACTGGCCACTTTAAGAAATTGAACACTAGTCCTTTAATAATGTTTACATATCTTGCACTAGTCATCTCATATGTATAGACTGCATTCTATTCTATACTATTCTACTGTATCTTAGTCCATGCCACTCTGTCATTGCTTGTCCATATATGTATATATTCTTAAATTCCATTCCTTACTAGATTTGTGTGTATTGGGTATATGTTGTGAAATTGTTAGATATTACTGCACTGTTGGAGCTAGAAGCGCAAGCATTTCGCTACACCCGCAATAACATCTGCTAAACACGTGTATGTGACAAATAACATTTGATTTGATTTGTTGTACAATACAGTAATGTACATTAGGTGGTTTGTAAGAATGGCCAATTAATACTGTACAAAAAGTGGTTGTTTTCCATGTAATTTGATCAAGAAAAATATTTAATTTGATGTGGATGTTTTGTGTCTTTGCCCATAACTTTGCACCTTTTGTTTGAGGACAGGGTTTTGTCCTTTCTGGATTCCATTAGAATGACAATCGCAGAGACAGGGACATGGCAACAATTCTTAAAATTGCAACTATTGAATCTTGCAAGATACTGTTCTTAATTATAAAACTATTTTTTGCCAAAGTGGAGATGCTATATCGGTCCGCTAATACTAGTAAAGGCCCAGTGGACTACTTTTGTGAAAAAATATATATTTTCTATACGAATAATCAACAACAAAAAAAACGGATTTTTGAGGGGGCCCTACCACTCCACCAGGGCCCTCACCTCCTCCCTGTAGGCGGTCTCGTCATTGTTGGTAATCAGGCCTACCACTGTTGTGTCGTCAGCAAACTTGATGATTGAGTTGGAGACGTGCGTGACCACGCAGTCATGGGTGAACAGGGAGTACAGGAGGGGGCTGAGCACGTACCCTTGTGGGGCCCCCCCCGTGTTGAGGATTAGCGTGGCGGAGGCGTTGTTTTCTACCTTCACCACCTGGGGGCGGCCCGTCAGGAAGTCCAGGACCCAGTTGCACAGGGCGGGGTTCAGACCCAGGGCCCCGAGCTTAGTGATGAGCTTGGAGGGGCACTATGGTGTTGAAGGCTGAGCTGTTGTCGATGAACAGCATTCTTACATAGGTATTTCTATTGTCCAGCTGGGATAGGGCAGTGTGCGGTGCGATGGTGATTTCATCATCCGTAGATCTGTTGGGGCGGTATGCAGATTGTAGTGGGTCTAGGGTGTCGGGGTAAGATGGTGGTGATATGATCCTTAACTAGCCTCTCAAAGCACTTCATGATGACAGAAGTGGGTGCTACGGGGCGATCGACGCGTTTTGGGGGTTTAATTCCGGTCCTAGTACAGGGCCTTCTCAGCCATCATATTTATATTCCAGCTAGGACAACACTATCACACTGGAGTCCCCTGTAGCTCAGTTGGTAGAGCATGGCACTTGCAATGCCAGGGTTGTGGGTTCGTTTCCCACGGTGGGCCAATAATGAAAAATGTATGCACTCACTAAACTGTAAGTCGCTCTGGATAAGAGCGTCTGCTAAATGACTTTAAATGTAAATGTAGTACTTGAATCAGGTGTTTATTTTAAAATGTTTTATTTAACCTTTATTTAACTAGGCAAGTCATGTTAAGAACAAATTCTTATTTACAATGAAGGCCTACCCCGGCCAAACCCGGATGACGCTGGACCAGTTGTGCACCGCCCTATGTGTAATAACGTAGGCCTGAAAATAATGTGCCACTGCTGTGGATGAATTGAAAACCTCTGGTCTATCACATTTGGTTGAAAATGCAGTATTGCCATTGTCAACCATGTCAGGTTTGACCCCTATATCTGGTTTGATCAGAGAATGAGCAGTATTGGGTGTAACAAAAATATATTGTTTTCAATAGGCCAAGTTCTCAGTTTTAAATTCTCCCTCCTAAGAGCTGGTTGGCTAAATCCCCATAGTAAGACCATTTTCACAAGGAAAGTCTTCAGTCCACAGAAATACTGTTGTACTAGAGCACTAGAACAGGTGGGCCAACCAGGGCAGAGAAACAGAATCAGAGGAGACAGGCCAAATGGCACCCAATTCGGGAAAGTATTCAGACCCCTTGACTTTTTCCACTTTGTTACGTTCTTATTCTAAAATTGATTAAAAATTTATTTTTCTCATCGATCTACACACAATACCCCATAATGAGTTTTTTTGAAATGTTTGCAAATGTATTACAAATAAAAAACAGATACCTTATTTATATAAGTATTCAGACACTTTGCTATGAGACTCAGAATTGATGTTTTTACAACTTGATTGGAGTCCACCTGTGGTAAATTAAATTGATTGGACATGATTTGGAAAGGCAGACACCCTGTCTATATAAGGTCCTACAGTTGGCAGTGCATGTCAGAGCAAAAAACAAGCCATGAGGTCTAAGGAATTGTCCGTAGAGATCTGAGACAGGATTGTGTCGAGGCACAGATCTGGGGAAGGGTACCAAAAAATGTCTACACCATTGAAGGTCCCTAAGAACACAGTGGCCTCCATCATTCTTAAATGGAAGAAGTTTGGAACAACCAAGACTCTTCCTAGAGCTGGCCGCCCAGCCAAACGGGGGAGAAGGGCCTTGGACAGGGAGGTAACCCAGAACCCGATGGTCACTCTGACAGAGCTCCAGAGTTCCTCTGTGGAGATGGGAGAACCTTCCAGAAGGACAACCATCTCTACAGCACTCCACCAATCAGGCCTTTATGGTAGAGTGGCCAGACAGAAGCCACTCCTCAGTAAAAGGCACATGACAGCCCACTTGGAGTTTGCCAAAAGGCACCTAAAGGACTCTCAGACCATAAGAAACAAGATTCTCTGGTCTGATGAAACATCGATTTAACTCTTTGGCCTGAATGCCAAGCGTTACATCTGGAGGAAACCAGGCACCGCTCATCACCTGGCCAATGCCATCCCTATGGTGAAGCATGGTGGTGGCAGTATCATGCTGTGGGGATGTTTTTCAGCGACAGGGACTGGGAGACTAGTCAGGATTAAGGGAAAGATGAACAGAGCAAAATACAGAGACATTGTTGATGAAAACCTGCTCCAGAGCACTCAGGACCTCAGACTGGGCAAAGGTTCACCTTCTAACAGGACAACGACCCTAAGCACACAGCCAAGACAATGCAGGAGTGGCTTCGGGACAAGTCTCTGAATGTCCTTGAGTGGCCCAGCCAGAGCCCGGACTTGAACCCGATCAAACATCTCTGGAGAGATCTGAAAATAGCTGTGCAGCGACGCTCCCCATCCAACCTGACAGAGCTTGAGAGGATCTGCAGAGAAGAATGGGAGAAACTCCTCAAATACAGGTTTGCCAAGCTTGCAGCGTCATACCCAAGAAGACTCTAGGCTGTAATCGCTGCCAAAGGTGCTTCAACAAAGTACTGAGTAAAGGGTCTGAATACTTATATCAATGTAATATTTCAGTTTATTTTTAATACATTTGATAACATTTATAAAAACCTGTTTTTCCCTCTGTCATTATGGGGCATTGTGTGTAGATTGATGAGAAATAACAATTTAATCCATTTTAGAATAAGGCTGCTGTAACGTAACAAAATGTGGAACAAGTGAATGGGTCTGAATACTTTCCGAATGAACTGTAGTGCACTACTCTGGACCATGCAGAGCCCTGTGGGGAATTGGGTGGCATTTCAGATGCAACCAGGGTCAACAGTGTGCACTAGAGTGTGGAGAAACCTGATGAAGTGTGCTGTGTACCAATCGCAGTATTAGAGGAAGTGTTGGGTCAGCTTTCTCTGTACTGTCATGGTTTTCATGGACTGTAACGTAAACTAAATCAGAACACTGGTATTCAATACCGGCCATACAAACAACAACCTTGCTATTGAATTCTACATTCATGTTGATTTTATGAAAATTCCCATTCCCAAGACAATACAGAATTGGTAGTGTCATCATCATATTTATGGACGCTGATATATAGGCTTTTTCATATGATGTATGTAATACAAATATGTCTAGAACCAAATCACACAACACGTTGCTTTGTGTAGGTTTGTCTCGCATCAATGCTTTTGCTTGTTCTGTAAAAATGTCAATGAGTATATCCAATATGACCCAGGTTCACCCTGTATAAAACCATCACTCCTCGGGACACCCAGATCTCCCCAACCCACTGTAATCAGATCTGCAACTCACACTAGTTGCCAGATCCTGCCCTGCATGGCCTATAGTCTGCCTGTCACCATGGCCAAATCACAGCCTGTTCTGTTCACTGCTCAATAAAAACGGACTACTTCTTTTGCTCAATCCCGTGGCCTGCCCAGTCTCACACCGACAGCTGAAAGGGAAAGCCAAAATCCAGCTTTAAAAACGTAAGTAACTCTTTATCACAGTCATCAGACTTTTGGGGTGAAATTCCATTAAAGCTTAACAATAAAACCCTTTCATGGGTTCCTCAGATATCAACTGAATCAATAGCCTGGTCCCAGATCTGTTTCTACATTTGGCATGACAATGACCACAGTAGTTGGCCATACAGCACAAACAGATCTGGGACCAGGTTACTGAATCAAGGCTTCAGTAAGTAGTCAAATAAACATTTACCCTCTGTCCAGAGATGCGTAAACAAAGAAGGAAATGGTTATATTGTACAGGAATCAAATAATCTTTTAAGGCACGAAACCTTCATCTGCTATAAAGATGCTTATCGTCTTAGATAAATACTGTATCTATACATTTACAGGACACGATCATTCTCAAAAACACTGAAAATGTCTCATTCTTCCTCTCCCCTCCTCACTGTTTCACAGTTTCACTTTTCTCCAGTCGTCTCTGTACATGCCTCCTCATGACAACCGCAGTCAGGGCACTACATAGTGCCAGGGCGAGGAAGGATACACCGGCGAACCACAGCTGCCTCTCCCCATACACCTGCAGCACTGTATCCCTCCGACTGCCATAGTCCAGGAAAAGGGCCTCCAGCTGAGATAGAGTACACAGAGACAGGAAGAGGTGGAAGATCTGGTGTCCCTGACCCATGATGTCACAATGCCCCGGGAAGAACCTCTCAGGAACAGGGCAGGAGAAGAAGAGGGCTGCAAGCAGGAAGAAGGCCATCTACAAAATGGAGGACCACAACAGAAATAAGTCAGTTGACTGTTAATTGTGTTTTTTAAAATCCTCTATAGAGTTGCCACATCCATGATAATTCCTACATCCATCCATCCATCCTGTCATCCACCCACCCACCCACCTGCAGGGCGTGGAGCGGTAGAGCGGGGTCCTGTCCCCAGGGTACGGTGGCCAGGCGGTGGGCTACAGGGCTGATGTCCAGGAAGTAGGCCATGCTTGTGGGGATCAGCTGGCAGATCTTCCTCCGGAGCGGATAGGGCCGGCGGTAACGTGACTTGGCAAAGCAGCAGCTGGCGCAGGACAGCCAGCCAAGTAGGGCAGCACCAGGGAGGAACCAGAACCCTAGAGGTAGAGGTAGAAAAGTTTGTCACTCCACAAATATTAGGAGTAGGGTGAAGTTGCCCTTAGACGCTGATCCTGGGTCACTTTTGCATTTTCCCCACTAATGGTTCAAGTTAGTATTGGGGGAGGGGAAGCTGATCCTAAAACTGCACATAGGGGAAACTTCACCCCTGAGCACAATATTACAACAAATCGGCAATACACATTCCAGATTTAAAAGCCACCTTGTGGACCACTCAGTAAGAGTTGAGAGACTGTAATCCTCCGTAGGCAATTATAACACACTATCAGAATCAGGTATGCAAAAACAAAAACACAAAGTACCGAAGGCATCCAAAATGGCTTCCTTTTCCCCCTTTGGGCCCAGGTGAAAAGTAGCGTATTATATAGGGAATAGGGTGCCATTTGGGACGCAGGCAGGGTGAATAATATGCACTAGAGTGTGGAGAGAGAACCTTAACGAAGTGTGTTCCCATAGCAATAATAAAAACAAAACACAAAGTACCTACAGCGCTCTCCCTCCAGGCAGGCTCAGAGCAGTAGAAATAGTGAGCCAGGGAACAGCCATACTGATACACCGCCACGCCCACATAGTCCAGGAAGAACAGAGAATAGTGGGTCAGCTCGGAGTGGGACTGAAGCAGGTGGGCTGTCACGCTACAACACAGGTAGGTGAGGGCAGACAGTATGTACAGGCAGAGAGGCAGGGAGGCTGGGTCTAGGGACAATCCATAGGCCCAGACACGCAGCAGCACCAAGGGGCCAGCCAGAAGGTGTGTCCAGACGTTGAGGGATTCGTTGTGTCTCTGGAAGAGGCTGAGGAGGTAACATCGCCAGTCCTGCCCCACCGGGCGGTAGCCGGAGAGGATGTAGGGCTCCCGGAACAGAGTGGGGACGCAGGAGACGGGGACGGTGGGGCTGGGGGAGGGGAGGGAGGGGAGAGAAGAGGGGAGGATGTCGGAGAGGTGAGGCAGCCGGCTGATCTGTTTCACACTCAGGGTTAGGGTACTGAGACGCCCCAGGGCTCCGCTGGACATGATGAAGGTGGGGCGCGAGGGAGAGAAAGAGGGATGGAGGGGGAGAGAGAGGAGTGTGAATGGGTATAGAGGAGGAGTAGTGTTGATTTGGGAAGACTTGGGTTTGCTGTGAAAACAAAGAGAGAAAAAAAATGCAGTTAATAAACTCATTTATGAATCAAAGTACAGATTAGGCATTGTGTTCTGTATTATACCAACTAGGTCAAAACAGATGCTGTTCTAGACAGAACACACTTGTTGCTGGGAGCAGTCGCAGTTATCAAATACCACTAGAGCACTAGACTAAACTAAATCTCCGTCCATATCGTTCTTTTTCATTTCTACATCGATGTCGTGTGAGGCAGGCTGACAGACACACATTTCTCACATAGCTGGCCCTCTGTGAACTGGTTCACCTGTCTGTCAGCTAGTGTCAGATTACACTAGCAGGCATGCAGTCGTACCTGTACATTGTTACCTCTAGCCTGCTACCTGTCCCAGTAGCCTAGTGTCAATGTCTCCCTTAACACCCCACCTACACACTAAGGAGTGACAACAGCCACCCTATCTTTGACGTCATCAGCGATACTAATAAGCACCTATGGAGACCAAAGACAAAAACATATACACCCAGAGAACACAATCCAAGCCAATGAATGTGACTGATACTGTGCACAATGGAAAGGGCCACTTCTGAAACTCTTGGCAGTGCCTTATCTTTCTCACCTTGAGCATAATTGTGTAGGATACTAGTGGTGACCATTTCCCTTCTATTCTTCCATTCCTTGTCATCATGCGTTCTACAATAGCCTGGGTCCCACATCTGGGATCAGGCTACTTGTACAAGGGAGTAAAACTAGAAAGACTAGGGATGAGGCAACAGCATTCTAGAAATACAACTAGAAAAACAGAGATATGAGGCAACGGCATTCTGTACTTGCTGCATGGAATGTCTGTCGACCTATCCATGTAAGTGCCCCATTTTCAGCATTAAACTAAACCTCTAGAATCTAGCCCTGGGGTTAGAGGAAAATGACACCAAAAAAAAAAAAATGGGTTCTGCACAAGAAGCAATGAGACAGAGTTCTAGATTAGAAAAATGTAAAAGGGAAACAATATCTTCAAAAAAACATGTTAGACACGTTATTATCCTCCTTTCATGTTCAAATGATTGTTTGAAAAGATAGAAATCTCACCTGCCTGTCTGTCTGTCTGTCTGTCTGCTCCTGTGTGTCTAGACAGAACACACCTGTTGCTGGGAACAGTCGCAGTTATGAAATACCACTAAAGCGCTAGACTAACCTAAATCTCCGACCGTATCGTTCTTTTTCATTTCTACATCGATTTCGTGATGCTGATGGTGAAGTCTATTCTCAAGCAGACAGCCAGTGGTAGCAGCACGCCAGGTGAACTCTAGCCATCTACAAGTGACAGCATTGCTGCCCTACTGCAAATAAGTCATTTGGGAGACTGGGCGTGGCTAAAAAGGTAGGCTAAACCATTGGGCTAAACAGAGAACGCCCAAAACTCAAGGACTGACCTACATTTTCCCAGGCAGTGGCGCTATGAAAAAATCATCTAATCCTTAAAACTACGCACATGGGGTTACGCATCACAATAAAAATATATAGCCTAGAATATTTTTTGGTACATATTACAATCACAATAGTTTATCAAAACAACCCTTTTTTCATGCACACGAGAAACCGAAAACATTATTTATTATTGAATCATAGCATCAAATTGCATGAGATGTTGATCAGTGATTTCTAATAACATTCTAGTCATTTTTGCAATTGTACATGTGAATACACAGAGCCTCATTAAACGTTTAAAAACCGACCAGTGCCTATGCCATTACAATAAATACACTACAATGCACGACAATATGACATACTTTGCAAAGAATGCAATGGCCACAGCTCGTTGTAGTTAAATAGCGCCATCTGCTGTACCATCTGTGGAAGAGCGTTCTTAGACAGATTTGGGACCAGGCTATGCAAGAGGGGCTTGGAAGATATTGACCATGCGCAATAGGCAGCTGGCGCATGTTCAATATTGTATCTCTCAAGCCTCTCTTGCTTAGCGAGCTATGGCAACGTGAAGATGTTTTGGAGTGGGGATGCTGAGGAAAGTTATTTTTCTCCTCTCATAGAGGAGTAATAAAAAAAATATATATTTGTAAAAATATGAATTACTTTTTAAATGTTATTTATCAGGAGGTGCTGAAGCACCCATACTTCCCATTGCTCCAATTCCAAATATGTTTGTGCGCTTGACAATGTAAAGGACGTCACATAAGCTTGCTTAGGTTACGCAAAAAGCAGGACGCTAATGGCTGGGGAGTAAGTTTCACACATCCTCATGTGTTACACTAACATGAAAATGATACATGAAATGAGTGGCAAGTAGTTGGCACAATAGGAGCGTTTTCGCCCCTGAACGACGTTGCACTATTTGGTTTCTCTTACGATCTAGTGAAAACTAGTGGAAAGTCAAAAGAGAAAAAAAAAGTGCAACGTCATTCGAGGGAAATTAACTGAAATGGTCTGGTTTGTAGGCCATGGAAGAACTGGGACAATTTTCAGCTTCCAGGAATTGTGTACAGATCCTTGTGACATGGGGATATGCATTAATGCTGAAATGAGGTGTTGGGAGGATGAATGGCAGGACAATGGGCCTCAGGATCTCCTCACGGTATCTCTGTGCATTCAAATTGCCATTGTTAAAATGCAATTGTGAATGTTGTCCGTAGCTTATGCCTGCCCATACCATAACCCCACCGCCACCATGGGGCACACTGTTAACAACGTTGACATCAGCAAACCGCTCGCCCACATGACGCCATACTACTGGTCTGCAGTTGTGAGGCCTGTTGGACGTACTGCCAAATTCTCTTAAACAACGTTGGAGGTGGCTTTTGGTAGAGAAATTAACATTACATTCTCTAGCAACAGCTCTGGTGGAAATTCCTGCAGTCAGCATGCCAATTGCACGCTCTCTCAAAACTTGAGACATCTGTGGCATTGTGTTGTGTGACAAAACTGCCCATTTTAGAGTGGCCTTTTATTGTCCCCAGCACAAGGTGCACCTGTGTAATGATCATGCTGTTTAATCAGCTTCTTGATATGCCACACCGGTCAGGTGGATGGATTATCTTGGCAAAGGAGAAATGCTCACTAACAGGGATGTAAACAAATTTGGGCATACAATTTAAACAAATAAGCTTTTTATGCATATGGAACATTTCTGGTGTCTTTTTTTTTCAGCTCATGAAACAATAGGACCAACACTTTACATGTTGCATTTATATTTTGTTCAGTGTAAATGACTAGCGCACCGTAGCCCTAACTTCTGTCATCATGAAGTGCTTTGAGAGGCTAGTTAAGGATCATATCACCTCCACCTTACCCGACACCCTAGACCCACTACAATCTGCATACCGCCCCAACAGATCCATGGATGACGCAACCGCCATCACACTGCACACTGCCCTATCCCACCTGGACAAGAGAAATACCTATGTGAGAATGCTGTTCATCGACTACAGCTCAGCCTTCAACACCATAGTACCCTCCAAGCTCATTACTAAGCTCTGGGCCCTTGGTCTGAACCCCGCCCTGTGCAACTGGGTCCTGGACTTCCTGACGGGCCGCCCCCAGGTGGTGAAAGGTAGGAAACAACACCTCCACTTCGCTGATCCTCAACACCGGGGCCCCACAAGGTTGGCGCCCCCCCCTTGGTTTGTGCTGTGGTGGAGACCTCTGTGGGCTATACTCGGCCTTGTCTCAGGATTGTAAGTTGGTGGTTGGGGATATCCCTCTAGTGGTGCGGGGGCTGTGCTTTGGCGGAGTGGGTGGGGTTATATCCTTCCTGTTTGGCCCTGTCCGGGGGTTTCTTCGGATGGGGCCACAGTGTCTCCGGACCGCTCCTGTCTCAGCCTCCAGTATTTATGCTGCAGTAGTTTATGTGTCGGGGGGCTGGGGTTAGTTGGTTATACCTGGAGTACTTCTCCTGTCTTATCCAGTGTCCTGTGTGAATTTAAGTATGCTCTCTCTAATTCTCTCGTTTCTCTCTTTCTCTCTGAGAACCTGAGCCCTAGGACCATACGTCAGGACTACCGGGCATGATGACACCTTGCTGTCCCCAGTCCGCCTGGCCTTGCTGCTATTCCAGTTTCAACTGTTCTGCCTGCGGCTACGAAACCCCTACCTGTCCCAGACCTGCTGTTTTCAACTCTTAATGATCGGCTATGAAAAGCCAACTGAGAGACCTGAGCCCTAGGACCATACGTCGGGACTACCGGCCGTGGTGACTCCTTGCTGTCCCCAGTCCGCCTGGCCTTGCTGCTATTCCAGTTTCAACTGTTCTGCCTGCGGTTATGGAACCCCTACCTGTCCCAGACCTGCTGTTTTCAACTCTTAATGATCGGCTATGAAAAGCCAACTGAGATTTATTCCTGATTATTATTTGACCATGCTTGTCACTTATGAACATTTTTGAACATCTTGGCATGGTTCTGTTATAATCTCCACCCGGCACAGCCAGAAGAGGACTGGCCACCCCTCATAGCCTGGTTCCTCTCTAGGTTTCTTCCTAGGTTTTCGCCCCTCCTGTACTCCCTGTTCACCCATGACTGCGTGGTCACGCACGTCTCCAACTCAATCATCAAGTTTGCTGATGACACAACAGTTAAGAGATAGATGGGTGGTGTTGAATGGAATTGAAGGATGGGACTAATAACAACTAACAACAAATAATAACAAGATAACTAATAATGTAAGCATTCTGTGTCCATAATAAGTATATAGGTTGTATGTTGGGAGCTTTTGGGAAAGAGCACAGTTAGAAAGATATGGCATATAGAAGCAAACCGGATGGACATCATGAAAATGATCGGAGAGGTTGAGAGTAGAAGAAGTTCAGGAGCAAAAACAAAAAAAACAAATAAAATAGAATTATTGTAAAATTGACTTTGTCCATAAGGTGTAGATAGTAAGTATAGGCTGGAAGTAGAGGCCTGGGCATTGTTGTTCACTAATTTTTACCCCAAGTAGGGAAAGGATGGCGTGGTTGAAAAGTAATAAAGGGGAGTATATATATAAAAAACATGGGGGATTGGAAGTGATGCAGACAATTACATTGATGGAAGTTACAAACTATCTGAAATATTAAGCTGATCTACCCCCCCCCCCAAAAACAAAAAAAAACAATGACGAGACAGCCTACAGGGAGGAGGTGAGGGCCCTGGCGGAGTGGTGCCAGGAAAATAACCTCTCCCTGAATGTCAACAAAACGAAGGAGCTGATCGTGGACTTCAGGAGACAGCAGAGGGAGCACGCCCACATCCACATCGACGGGACCGCAGTGGAGAGGGTGAAAAGCTTCAAGTTCCTCGGCGTACACATCACTGAATATCTGAAATGGTCCATCCACAGAGACAGTGGTGGTGAAGAAGGCGCAACAGCGCAACAGCGCCTCTTCAACCTCAGGAGGCTGAAGATATTCGGCTTGGTCCCTAAAACCCTCTCGAACTTCTACAGATGCACCATTGAGAGCATCATGTCGGGCTGTATCACCGTCAGCAACCGCAGGGCTCTCCAGAGGGTGGTGCGGTCAGCCCAACGCATCACCGGGGGCACACTGCCTTCCCTCCAGGACATCTACAGCACCCGGTGTCACAGGAAGGCCAAGAAGATCATCAAAGACCTCAGCCACCCGAGCCACGGGCTGTTCACCCCACTACCATCTAGAAGGCAGAGAGAGTACAGGTGCATCAAAGCTGGGACCGAGAGACTGAAAAACAGGCCATCTCCAGGCCATCAGACTGTTAAATAGTCACCACTAGACAGTCAGTCTCCGCCCAGTAGCCTACCCTGAACTTAATCACTGTTACTGGCCGCCTACCACCCGGTACTCTACCCAGCACCTTAGAGACTGTTGCCCTATGTACATAGTCATTAAACACGGGTCACTTTAAAAATGTTTACATACTGTTTTACCAACTTCATATGTATATATTTTATTCTAGTCAATGCTCATCCTATATACTGTTATTACTTTCCTATTCATGTACTGTCCATACTGTCTATACTTGTGTGTATTGTTTTGTATTGTTAGATATCACTGCTGATGGAGCTAGAAACATAAGCATTTCGCTGCACCTGCGATAAAATCAGCAAAATATGTGGGACAAAAAAATAAAATGTGATTTGTTTTGAGAGACAGAAAATACCAGCATGTTAGCACAAACAGGCACTGCAGCGGTCAGACCGCATTCATGCTACCTCTTGCAGCCCAGCCCCCCTTCTCTAAAAATTTCCCGCGAGTTGCTGAGGGGGCGGGTCCAAATGCAGAAACCTAGTATCTGATTGGACAGATACAGATTCCGCGCCAAATATGCAAAGCAAAGTTTGTCACATCGACCAATCATGGTTCAGATCTGAGTCCACCCGGGTACTAGGTGGCGCGAAAATCTTTCACTTCTGGAAAGACCTCTGCAGAAACGGTCGCTTCGGGCTCTGAAAAAGTTTTTGTCTTTGAAAAACATAAAATTTCACAATGGCGTCTGATTCTGTGGACGATCGGGAAATGAGAGAGGCGCAGAGAGAGTATCTGGACTTCTTAGATGACGATGTAAGTAGTTTTGTACTTTGATAATGTAGCTAGCTAACTTTTATTGGATGCCTTCGAAAGGAAACCATGCAGCGTGTTGAGTTACAATAGATAACGTTGAAATCATGCCAACAGTTAGCTAGCTAGCTAGCTAGCTAAACTCCTTGGGCGATATTTTCTAACTTTGTAACGTTAGTTCCTGCCATCCTATCTAGCTCGTTAATTTTACGATGATATTGATAGCCAGTGAGTGACAATGTGTAGGCTAATGTGTAACTTTAGTTGGGTATTTAACGTTCGCCCACTGCTTAAGCCAGCCATCACTTGACCTGGATAGTGTCTGACGATTACCCCATTTGTGTTTTGTCCTGATGCAGCAAGACCAGGGAGTGTATCAGAGCAAGGTGCGGGACATGATCAGCGAGAACAAGAACCGACTTATCGTCAACATCAACGACCTGAGACGACGCAACGAGGCCCGGGCTGCCAGGTAGAAAAACAAAGAGGATAACAGTAACTGATGTTACACTGCATTCACACACACACACACGCTTTTGGCAGTAATCGATTAGTTGTACCGGTATGTATCCACCAAGTTATTGGCATCCCACTATGCAAGATATGTAAGGGGATCTCTTTAGTTCACATTCCATATTAAGTTCCAGACCATACAATACTAGCCAAACACATAGAGCACCTAAATAAAAAATGATCTACCGGTATGTGTCTATTATTCTATTTATACAAGACTGTGTAAGGGAAACTATGTCAACAACATGTAATACCATGCATATTAACCTTTGCTCCCTTCTTCCCAGGTTGATGACTAGTGCGTTTGAGGAGCTGCTTGCGTTTCAGCGTGCTCTGAAGGACCTGGTGGCGTCTGTGGACGCTACGTACGCCAAGCAGTACGAGGAGTTCTTTGTTGGTCTGGAGGGAAGTTTCGGCAACAAGCACGTCTCTCCCCGTACCCTCACCTCTCGCCTGCTGGGTAGCATTGTGTGTGTGGAGGGCATCGTCACCAAGTGTGAGTATAGATGCAGGGATGGATGGATGGATGGAGTGGTGTAAGGTATCAAGCCAGCAGCCTACTCTGAATGTCTAGGACCACTGTACTGCTCCACAACTACCCATTCTATTTTGTCTTCAGTTTCCCCCTCTCTGTTCTGCTTTGACATGACAGCATGGAGTCAGAGCAGAATGTAATCCATAAGAAATAAACAAAGCAGACTCCTTTTTCTAGTATCCTCCCCATATCCAAAGTAATATCTAATACCTCCTCCTGTTCCTCTCTCTCTAGGTTCTCTGGTGCGTCCCAAGGTGGTGCGTAGCGTCCATTACTGTCCGGCCACCAAGAAGACCATGGAGCGGAAATACACAGACATGACCAGCCTGGACGCCTTCCCTTCCTCTGCCATCTACCCTACCAAGGTACGCACTCACTCACTGCCTCACTCCGTAGATAACCTCCGAAAACTCTTGGTGGGGTCGCAGCGCAAATAATTAATTATCTCCATCCCCTCTCTCTAGGATGAGGAAAACAACCCGTTGGAGACGGAGTTTGGTCTGTCCGTCTACAAGGACCACCAGACGATCACGGTCCAGGAGATGCCAGAGAAGGCTCCTGCCGGTCAGCTTCCCCGCTCGGTGGACATCATACTGGACAATGATCTGGTGGACGTGGTAAAGCCAGGAGACAGGGTCCAGGTGATCGGGACCTACCGCTGTCTGCCTGGCAAGAAGGGAGGATACACCTCTGGGGCTTTCAGGTGAGGTCATCACTTGGTAACACTTGTGCACGTGGATAGTCCCCAATAGATGTTTTTTGTCGATGTTTAACCAACTATTTCACTATCATACTTTGTAAAGAAAGAGTTAAAACGCACACTTAAAAAGTTGAAGAGGACATTAAACATAGAATAAATAGAGAGAATTACTCCCAATTTTTGTATTATTATGTGACTAAAACCAATTCTTAGGCACACAGTACCTCCTTCAGGGGGGGTTATAAGGTATATTGTTATCCTACATCTGTACTCTGTCCTCCATCTTCCTCCAGGACCATCATGATAGCCTGTCAGGTGAAACAGATGAGTAAAGAAGTGTCTCCATACTTCTCGGCTGACGACGTCTCCAAGATCAAACTTTTCAGCAAGTCGAAGATGGTAAAGAGCTGCACTGCCATAGTGATGGTTTTTAACATCTTTAGTCATTTAGCAGATGCTGTTATCCAGAGTGACTTAGTTAGTGCATTCATCTTAAGGTAGCTAGGTGAGACGACCACATCGCAGTCGTAGTAAGTAAAACCTTCCTCAGTAAAGCCGCTGTCAGTACTAGTAAGAGAAGACAATTGCAAGTGTTAATTTCCCCTCTAGCGATCATTACAGATCCATCTCAATAGTCTAAAAGGGTCTTCCTCTTGTCTACCAGTTCATCTGAAAAGACGGGACAGTCATTTTGGCCAGAGTCACTCATCGACACATCGCCTGGCATCCCAAATATCTACAATACTAAATTAAATACTCTGTGATCAAAGATGAGAGATTCTACCGCTTATTTTGCACCATCCCATTCCCTCAAACGCACCGTCTGTGTCCTCGTTCATGAGTACGCTAAGAACATTCTAGACCATCTCTACCTATACTAACTCTCTCCTCTCCTATCCAGGATGTGTTTGACCAGCTGTCCCGCTCCCTAGCCCCCAGTATCCACGGTCATGAATACATTAAGAAGGCCATACTGTGTATGTTGCTGGGAGGAGTGGAGAAGGTGCTGGAGAATGGATCACGCATCAGAGGAGACATCAATGTACTGCTCATAGGTACTGAGACCACTGAACTGCTGCTGTTCTTTCTCTCTCTCTCTCTCTTTATCTCTTGTTCTTTCTCTCTCTCTTTATCTCTTGTTCTTTCTCTCTCTCTCTCTTTATCTCTTGTTCTTTCTCTCTCTCTCTCTCTCTCTTTATCTCTTGTTCTTTCTCTCTCTCTCTCTCTTTATCTCTTGTTCTTTCTCTCTCTCTCTCTCTTTATCTCTTGTTCTTTCTCTCTCTCTCTCTCTTTATCTCTTGTTCTTTCTCTCTTTATCTCTTGTTCTTTCTCTCTCTCTCTTTATCTCTTGTTCTTTCTCTCTCTTTTAGTTTTTTTAGTTTAGGTTATGAGATAGTAGGGTCCCAAACAGTGGTTGATGGCTGTATGACCTATGAGCCTAAGGTCAGTTTGGGAATAATCTCTCACGACACACTGCTCAGATTGGAACCCCTTTGACAGTGTTGTGTGCGAGATCACCTAAAGCGAGACCGATTCAAGACCGAAGCAAATGGAGTCTGAGTCAAGACCCAGATCGGACGGGGGTGGGGGCGAGACCGAGTCAAGACCGCAACCGGGAAGGGGACAAGGGGTCCGAGACGAAATGCGAGTCCAGTTCAAGACCATGATTGTAATTTTGTCAAATCGCCACCATAATAAGAGTTCAAAATGTCCAGTATTTCTGTGTTCATATTTCAGAAGAACATATGTATTCTTTAGACATTCAGAATGGTGAAAGAATGCATACGGAGGGCAAATCACATTTTATTTGTCACATGCGCCGAATACAACAGGTGTAGACATTACAGTGAAATAAGGGCAAAGGATTTATAAAATAGTAATAATGATTCTAATTATATTATTATTTTCAGTGATATTCTGATTTAATCTCTTCAGTTTTTGTTGGAAAGGGTTAACACTGAAGAGAAAAAAAAGATCCAATCAGGATTCTTATTTGGTGGTCTCTGGGGAGATCATTTTAGCTAGCTAAGTCAGCCATTGGCTACGCCATCAGAAGCTAGATAGAAGGCATCTGCCATCCATCTGTATTAGGCCAACATTTTGGAGTGACAGTGGAATCAACCAATCACATTTTGACTTGTAATGGGTGGGACCGACTTTACAAAAAACGTATGTAAACTTCTGCCTTCTCAAAGGCCAACGTATCACTGCGCAATAGCGAGCAGTAGTTTTCCCACGGTCTAGCTAGCTAGCTTTTGTTGTAGGCTAGTTTGCAGCGGGTGTTATCGAAGAGGATGTTGTTGCTACTTTGTTAGCTTCTCCCTTTTCAAGAATAACTTCTAATAAGAAGTTAACTTTTTACTGCAGTGGTCTAAATCAGGGTCACAGAGCGATTCTTTATAGTCTTAAACAAATCTACTTTGAAACCAAAGTGTACATGTCACACACACGGTTATGGGCGGACAAAAAAGCCCATGTCAAATATAGAGTTGAAATGTATTCCATTTTTTGTTTGCATCCCAATATTACACTTCGTATACATCACAAAAGTGTGTGGCGCGAATGTGAATATACACTGCTCAAAAAAATAAAGGGAACACTGAAACAACACAATGTAACTCCAAAACTGTCCACTTAGGAAGCAACACTGATTGACAATAAATTTCACATGCTGTTGTGCAAATGGAATAGACAACAGGTGGAAATTATAGGCAATTAGCAAGACACCCCCAATAAAGGACTGGTTTTGCAGGTGGTGACCACTTCTCAGTTCCTATGCTTCCTGGCTGATGTTTTGGTCACTTTTGAATGCTGGCGGTGCTTTCACTCTAGTGGTAGCATGAGACGGAGTCTACAACCCACACAAGTGGCTCAGGTAGTGCAGCTCATCCAGGATGGCACATCAATGCGAGCTGTGGCAAGAAGGTTTGCTGTGTCTGTCAGCGTAGTGTCCAGAGCATGGAGGCGCTACCAGGAGACAGGCCAGTACATCAGGAGACGTGGAGGAGGCCGTAGGAGGGCAACAACCCAGCAGCAGGACTGCTACCTCCGCCTTTGTGCAAGGAGGAGCAGGAGGAGCACTGCCAGAGCCCTGCAAAATGACCTCCAGCACCTTTGTGCAAGGAGGAGCAGGAGGAGCACTGCCAGAGCCCTGCAAAATGACCTCCAGCAGGCCACAAATGTGCATGTGTCTTCTCAAACGGTCAGAAACAGACTCCATGAGGGTGGTATGAGGGCCCGACGTCCACAGGTGGGGGTTGTGCTTACAGCCCAACACCGTGCAGGACGTTTGGCATTTGCCAGAGAACACCAAGATTGGCATATTCGCCACTGGCGCCCTGTGCTCTTCACAGATGAAAGCAGGTTCACACTGAGCACGTGACAGACGTGACAGAGTCTGGAGACGCCGTGGAGAACGTTCTGCTGCCTGCAACATCCTCCAGCATTGTCTGGTTTGGCGGTGGGTCAGTCATGGTGTGGGGTGGCATTTCTTTGGGGGGCCGCACAGCCATCCATGTGCTCGCCAGAGGTAGCCTGACTGCCATTAGGTACCGAGATGAGATCCTCAGACCCCTTGTGAGACCATATCCTGGTGCGGTTGGCCCTGGGTTCCTCCTAATGCAAGACAATGCTAGACCTCATGTGGCTGGAGTGTGTCAGCAGTTCCTGCAAGAGGAAGGCATTGATGCTATGGACTGGCCCGCCCGTTCCCCAGACCTGAATCCAATTGAGCACATCTGGGACATCATGTCTCGCTCCATCCACCAACGCCACGTTGCACCACAGACTGTCCAGGAGTTGGCGGATGCTTTAGTCCAGGTCTGGGAGGAGATCCCTCAGGAGACCATCCGCCACCTCATCAGGAGCATGCCCAGGTGTTGTAGGGAGGTCATACAGGCACGTGGAGGCCACACACACTACTGAGCCTCATTTTGACTTGTTTTAAGGACATTACATCAAAGTTGGATCAGCCTGTAGTGTGGCTTTCCACTTTAATTTTGAGGGTGACTCCAAATCCAGACCTCCATGGGTTGATACATTTGATTTCCATTGATCATTTTTGTGTGATTTTGTTGTCAGCACATTCAACTATGTAAAGAAAAAAGTATTTAATAAGATTATTTCATTCATTCAGATCTAGGATGTGTTCTTTTAGTGTTCCCTTAATTTTTTTGAGCAGTGTATTTCACGTGCTTTGTGATTGTGTAGGCTAATTGTGTAGGCTACGTGATTTCTCTATTGTCCTACATCATTGATAAATGGTATACCTCCACTACACTACTTTGATATGGAACAGTAGGGATTAAGAAGTGAGTATATATGAAGAAAAAGTGGTTATAAGGCATATGTATACCTGCGTATGACCTCCACTACACCAATGGCCCCTCTGTGTTTTACAAAAAGTGATCTCTCCTACATGAGTGCGCTGGTATTACGGTTGCTGGCCTTTCAGAATCACCAACCTGTCACACACTGAAGGCCTAAAGGTTCACCACTGGGAAAACATGTCTATAATAGATGCAAAGGCTGTTAAGATATTCATGTTTCAAGAAAGGAGTGTATATATTTGGCCTGGCGGAGCGGTTTTTATGCGCTGACTGAATGGAAGCTTATAATTATGATTTCTTTATTTTTATTTTTTTTATTTTTTACTCCGCTGGTCTGGGGGTAGAAATGACGAGTCCTCGCTGTCCGAGACCGAGTACAAATGTATCTGACAACGAGACATTCAAAATGTGGTCTCCAGTACTACAACGCAGCCTTTCGACCCTCTCAATCAATTTGGTTTGCTAGCTAGCTCACGTAACATTTGGTTCTGGGTTATGAGATTAGTTTGGGAAGAACTTTTAACTTGTTAGTGAGTAGTGATGGGTGAAAAATGTATACAGTTACATATCGCAATATTATATCAATACTTTGACTCCAAATAATGTATTTATTTTTTGCTAGGTCACGTCAGCTAGCGCTAGTCGGCTGTGCCTGCACCAAAGCTCCGGTGTTTTTCATCCTATATCTTGTTCTCATGTTTAAATAGTGAGCCAACATGTTTTCAGCACTTTTATTTCCATGACCGATCAAAACTAGTTTTCTCATGGCTCTCTCTTGTCTCTCTGCAGCAGACATATGGTGAGCGATACGTTTGAAACATCAAATCGCAGTGTCGAATCTCAATACATATCGTATCGGCACTTAAGTATCGTGATAATATTGTATCGTGAGGTCCCTGGCAATTCCCAGCCCTATTAGTGAGCACTGTTAAACGTGTTACAGTATGCGTCTGGATCCTAATTGTAACACATGTAAGACTGACCTCTCTCTCTCTCTCTCTCGCTCTCTCGCTCTCTCGCTCTCTCGCTCTCTTGCTCTCTCGCTCTCCCCTCTCTCTCGCTCTCCCTCCTCTAGGTGACCCGTCAGTGGCTAAGTCCCAGCTGCTGCGTTATGTCCTGCACACGGCGCCCCGAGCCATCCCTACCACCGGCCGGGGGTCATCTGGGGTCGGCCTGACCGCTGCTGTCACTACTGACCAGGAGACTGGTAAAGACACACTCACACACAGGCTCACACACACAGGCTCACACACACACAGGCTCACACTCAGATACTGAGTTGAAACTCGACAGAAAGAGTGAATATGATCATCCTTCCTGACAGTGAATGAATCCATAACATGCCTATCAAATTAGGTAGTGAAACATTCAAATACACCAAATGAATAAGTGAATCAATCATATTTACATCAATGAATCATTAGTTGAAAAATTGAACGACTCACACCACAAATGACTCACTGATCCCATCACCCATAGATGCATGTTTACATTTTAGTCATTTAGCAGACGCTCTTATCCAGAGCCACTACAGTAGTGAATCATTTAGCAGACTCTTATCCAGAGCCACTACAGTAGTGAATCATTTAGCAGACTCTTATCCAGAGCCACTACAGTAGTGAATCATTTAGCAGACTCTTATCCAGAGCCACTAGAGTAGTGAATCATTTAGCAGACTCTTATCCAGAGCCACTAGAGTAGTGAATCATTTAGCAGACTCTTATCCAGAGCCACTACAGTAGTGAGTCATTTAGCAGACACTCTTATCCAGAGCAATTAGGGTTAAGTGCCTTGCTCAAAGGCACATCAACACAGCTAGTCGGCTCGGGTATCGAACCAGCGGCCGCTAGGCTACCTGCCGATTTAAATGCTACTGTTATATTACCATATTGTGTGCTTCTCTCCTCTCCCATCAGGTGAGCGTCGTCTGGAGGCGGGAGCGATGGTTCTGGGGGACAGGGGTGTGGTCTGTATCGATGAGTTTGACAAGATGTCCGACATGGACCGTACAGCCATCCATGAGGTGATGGAGCAGGGCCGTGTCACCATCGCTAAGGCGGGTATCCATGCCAGGCTCAACGCCCGCTGCTCCGTGCTGGCAGCTGCCAACCCCGTCTACGGCAGGGTGAGCTAAGAACTATTACATGTAATGATGAAGGAATGTGGTGCCTTGAAAGCGTCTCACAAAAACTTCTCTGGAGATGGTTTGGAAGCGCCGCTGAACGGGCATTTAACTAGTCTGTAAAGGAATGCCACTTCTGAAGCGGGACTAACGTCCATCACTAGGCAACCAGAACTGTCAATCAAATGATCTCGAGCTGCCTGCACGCAGACCATTTAACTCCTAAGAAAAGTACTTTGACTTACCAAAACATTTAGTAGAAATAAAACACATCTACCCTACCATAAACAACAACACAGCAGCACACCAATCAGCAACGTTTATTGTTGTTAGGGAAACAACACCCAAGATTCTATTGCGGAGCAGAATTCTACTGTCTGAAAAGGAACAGACGGTTCTGAAAGGGTATCAATTGTCGCTATCGACCTGTTACCGTAGCGGCGTCCTATGTATGAAAAGGGTATATGACCTCATAAAATGATTTTCTATTTGAGAGTGTTAGTCATGATCCGGATCCTGGCCGAAACTAATCTGGTCTCGGCAACTTACAAGATGTGCTCTACCTCACTCCTCTCTCTCTAGGATAGCATTAATCAGTGTCTCCTCTTTCTCTCTCTCTCTCCTCTTTCTCTCTCTCTCTCCTCTTTCTCTCCCTCTTTCTCTCTCTCTCTCTCTCTCCTTCTCTCTCCCCTCTCTCTCCTCTCTCTCTCTCCCTCCTCTCTCCCCTCTCTCTCTCCCTCCTCTCTCTCCCTCTCTCTCCCTCCTCTCTCCTCTCTCCCTCTCCCTCTCTCTCCTCTCTCCCTCTCTCTCTCCCTCCTCTCTCCCCTCTCTCCTCTCCTCCCTCTCTCTCTCCTCCCTCTCTCTCTCTCCAGTATGATCAGTATAAGACGCCTATGGAGAACATTGGTCTGCAGGACTCTCTGCTGTCTCGTTTTGACCTGCTGTTCATCATGTTGGACCAGATGGATGCAGAGCAGGACAGAGAGATCTCAGACCACGTCCTCAGGATGCACCGATACAGAGACCCCCGCGAACAAGACGGGACAGGTAACACTCTACTCCTAACAACAGATCTGGGATCAGATGCACCACCAGGGACAGGGAACTAGATATGCCGGTGATCACCAGTCCCGGTTCTTGAGGGTTGTTCGGGCCTGATTCAACGTCATTCATCTTAGCTACAACTGCTTATCAAGGCTTTTTATTATCTGAGTCAGATGTTTTAGTGCTTGGCTTGAACAAAGGTCTGCATACCCTGTGGTTCTCCAGACCCAGTGTGTGTGTGACCACTGATCTATGATCTAGACTACTGACTGCGTGTGTGTGTGTGTGTGTGTTTTAGCCATGGCCTTTGGTGGATCAGTAGACATCCTGGCCACTGAGGACCCTGACTCAGTTCAGGACGAGCAGGAGGAACTGCAGGTCTACGAGAAACACAACAACCTGTTGCACGGCACTAAGAGACGCAGGTATGGATATATACACACACACACACACACACACACACACACACACACACACACACACCACACACAAAAACACAGCAACCTGCTGCACGGCACTGGTATGTGCTCTCTCTGGGCACGCTCGTTTTGCGTGAGTTGACATTTCACTTCCCCCCTCTCTCTTTCTCCAGTCCTTCATCACTGCATGTTAAGGCTCTTACTTTTTCTATTCAACTCTCCCCCTGGCACAGGCGGAAAACGTACGGCCCACTTCTCTCCTCCGTCCATGCACTGCATGTTAAGTCTTCTTCCTATTTCTCTGCTATCAGTGTTTTTGTTTAGAGAGAAGGTAGTGAGTAAGGAGTTCATGAGGAAGTACATCCACATCGCCAAGGTGTTGACCCCCACTCTGACCCAGGAAGCAGCCAATCACATCGCTGAAGAATCACTCCATGGCTGGAAGCCCGGGAACAGCTGGGCTCCGACATCGCCAGGGTGAGTCGTTTAGACACGCCCACACACAGAATATAGCCTTTGCTTATAGGTGCACCCATCTAGTACTGTGCCAGAAACCCTTTGCCTCCAGAACAGCCGGAGTTCTTCGGGGGCATGGATTCTACAAGTTGGAAACGTTCCACAGGGGTTTTGGTCCGTGCTGACGTCATTGGACGACGTTACACCACCGCCACCAGCCTGTACCGTTGACACCAGGCAGGATGGGTCCATGGACTCATGCTGCTTACGCCAAATCCTGACTCTGCCATCAGCATGACGCAACAGGAACCAGGATTCGTCGGACCAGGCAATGTTTTTCCACTCCTCAATTGTCCGGTGTTGGTGATGGCGTGCCCACTGGAGCCACTTCTTCTTGTTTTTATCTGATAGTAGTGGAACCCGGCGTGGTCGTCTGCTGCAATAGGCCATCCGTGACAAGGATCGTCGAGTTGTGCGTTCCGAGATGCCGTTCTGCACACCGCTGTTGTACTGCACCGTTATTTCTGTTTGTGGCCCGCCTGTTAGCTTCCACGATTCTTGCCATTCTCCTTAAACCTCTCATCAATTAGTTGTTTTTTGCCCACAGGACTGCCGCTGACTGGATGTTTTTTGTTTGTCGCACCATTCTCTGTAAACTCTAGACACTGTCGTGCGTGAAAAGCCCAGGAGGCCGGCCGTTTCTGAGGTACTGGAACCGGCGTGCCTGGCACCAACGATCATACCACGCTCAAAGTCGCTTAAGTCACTCGTTTTGCCCATTCTAACGTTCAATAGAAGTAACTGAATGCCTCGATGCCCGTCTGCCTGCTTTATATAGCCGGCCACGTGACTCACTGTCTGTAGGAGCGAAGCATTATCGTGAACAGGGTGGTATACCTAATAAATTGCCCCCCCCCCCCAATCTAACCTTCTCCCCCGTCTAACCCTCTGCCCCCCCTTTCCCCCTCCAGACATCCCCAGTAACCGCTCGTACTCTGGAGACCCTGATCCGTCTGTCTACGGCCCATGCTAAAGCGCGCATGAGTAAGGTTGTGGAGCTGGAGGACTCGGAGGTCGCTGTGGAGCTGGTCCAGTTCGCATACTTCAAAAAGGTCAGCAGACTCGACATGCATAGTTGGTTGATTGATTGATTGATTGATTGATTGTCTTCCACATGGTGGCCATCCCATATGGGATTATTACACAGTACTTGTAATGTAGGTTACAGCCTTTGTGCAAACATACATCTTCATTTAAATAAACTCTGTTGTATTTTGGTAAAGCTTGTCTGATGTCTGCAGTTAGTACAGAATGGGTTTAATCTGAAACTAATCTCTGTTCTGTCCTGTAGGTTCTGGAGAAATTCATCTCTGTTCTGTCCCATGGTCCTGTAGGTTCTGGAGAAACTCATCTCTGTTCTGTCCCATGGTCCTGTAGGTTCTGGAGAAACTCATCTCTGTTCTGTCCCATGGTCCTGTAGGTTCTGGAGAAACTCATCTCTGTTCTGTCCCATGGTCCTGTAGGTTCTGGAGAAACTCATCTCTGTTCTGTCCCATGGTCCTGTAGGTTCTGGAGAAACTCATCTCTGTTCTGTCCCATGGTCCTGTAGGTTCTGGAGAAACTCATCTCTGTTTGTCCCATGGTCCTGTAGGTTCTGGAGAAACTCATCTCTGTTCTGTTCCATGTCCTGTAGGTTCTGGAGAAACTCATCTCTGTTCTGTCCCATGGTCCTGTAGGTTCTGGAGAAACTCATCTCTGTTCTGTCCCATGGTCCTGTAGGTTCTGGAGAAACTCATCTCTGTTCTGTCCTGTAGGTTCTGGAGAAACTCATCTCTGTTCTGTCCAATGGTACTGTAGGTTCTGGAGAAACTCATCTCTGTTCTGTCCCATGGTCCTGTAGGTTCTGGAGAAACTCATCTCTGTTCTGTCCCATGGTCCTGTAGGTTCTGGAGAAACTCATCTCTGTTCTGTCCTGTAGGTTCTGGAGAAACTCATCTCTGTTCTGTCCCATGGTCCTGTAGGTTCTGGAGAAAGAGAAGAAGAGAGGGAGGAAGGAGCAGGACTCGGGCTCTGAGGAGGAAGAGGAGGAGACAACACAACGTACCCCTCGCTCAGACAAGAAGAGGTACGGCATTGGACTCTTATTTGTGAATGTAAACAAAATAGCCTCAAAACATGGTTACCAACTATCACTATGGATGGTTACAACTATCACTATGGATGGTTACGAACTATCACTATGGATGGTGACCAACTATCACTATGGATGGTTACAACTATCACTATGGATGGTTACAACTATCACTATGGATGGTTACGAACTATCACTATGGATGGTTACCAACTATCACTATGGATGGTTACGAACTATCACTATGGATGGTTACGAACTATCACTATGGATGGTTACGAACTATCACTATGGATGGTTACCAACTATCACTATGGATGGTTACAACTATCACTATGGATGGTTACGAACTATCACTATGGATGGTGACCAACTATCACTATGGATGGTGACCAACTATCACTATGGATGGTTACGACTATCACTATGGATGGTTACCAACCATCACTATGGATGGTGACCAACTATCACTATGGATGGTGACCAACTATCACTATGGATGGTGACCAACTATCACTATGGATGGTGACCAACTATCACTATGGATGGTGACCAACTATCACTATGGATGGTGACCAACTATCACTATGGATGGTTACGAACCATCACTATGGATGGTTACGAACCATCACTATGGATGGTTACGAACCATCACTATGGATGGTTACGAACCATCACTATGGATGGTTACGAACCATCACTATGGATGGTTACGAACCATCACTATGGATGGTTACGAACCATCACTATGGATGGTTACGAACCATCACTATGGATGGTTACGAACCATCACTATGGATGGTTACGAACCATCACTATGGATGGTTACGAACCATCACTATGGATGGTTACGAACCATCACTATGGATGGTTACGAACCATCACTATGGATGGTTACGAACCATCACTATGGATGGTTACGAACCATCACTATGGATATGAATTTGATAGTGGTTACATTTTCTCCAGGCCCATCCCTCAGCTTTTTACCAAAACAAACTCTTTGGTGAACTCACACTTGACTTTTACTAGCAGTGACCTTGCTGATAGCTACTTTATTGAGGAAGAATGTACTTACTGTGAAATGTGGTTGTCCCAACTAGCCATCTTAAGATGAATGCACTAACTGTAAGTCGCTCTGGATAAGAGCATCTGCTAAATGACTAAAAATGTCAAACGTTATTGTTCCTACTGCCCCTTTAAAAGGATAGTTGCTGTGTTTTCTGGACATGTCTGTTATTCTGTGTTTGTCCTGCAGGAGTCGCCGTGGTTCCCAGAGCAGCGAGGCCCGCGACCCGTACGACTTCGCTGGAGAGAAGGACATCCCTGAGAGTAAGAACCAGACGCTTCTTTCTCTCAGTACCATTTCTGCAAAGCACTATGGGTTCCATTCAGACTTGAGATAAATTGGCTTAACATGGACTTCAGTCATCAAAACATGGACTTCAGTCATCAAAACATGGACTTCAGTCAACATTTTTCTTGACTTGTGTCCATGTTAAGTCAACTAATCTCAAGTCTGAATAGAACCTTTTTATATGAATCAAATTGATTCTCAGTTTCAGAATTGTTACCATACACTGTTTGCCCCTCCCTCCCACAGTCCAGGCTGGCACGCCCAAACCGGCCGAGGCAGAAGAGGAGCCTATGGATGCCCCTGTCCCACCGAGCCAGGACGGGCAGACAGAGGTGTCTGCAGACAGGTGGGTTACAGTGCGAAGGGCAGAGACTCCTCTCATGTTACCGTCAGTCACTCTTGTTAGGGGACCCTGCATAGACTGGATAGGTGAAAGCAAAATGTTTGAACTGTGAAGAATATGTTGGAAGTCTGGGGCTGGGTGCTAAAATAGAACCAAGACCTAGTTAGGATAGGCATGTGTCTATCGCTCCACTGAATGGAAGGCAGTTATATCCCTCTGTCCATGTTAATCCTCTCTCTCTCTCTCTCTGTCTCTGTGTCTCTGTCTCTCTCTCTGTGTTTTCCAGGCTGAAGGAGTTTAAGTCCTCCCTCCTGGAGGTGTTCCGTTCTGCACATGCTCAGTCCGTTGGTATGAACTCTCTGGTGGAGAGTGTCAACAAGGACAGTGACGCCCCCTTCACCCTGACAGAGGTCCGGGCCGCCCTCGCTCGCATGCAGGACGACAACCAGATCATGGTGGCTGATGATATCATCTTCCTCATCTGACACAGAGGTGGAGGCAGGAGAGGGAAGAGGTGGGAGGGAGAGGGAAGTGGAGGGAGGAGGAGAGGGAGGGAGGAGGTGGAAGAAGGAGAGGGAGGAGGGAGAGGACAGAAGGAGAAGCAAGAGTCAGAATGGAGAGATTATGTTTCCCATTTGAGACCAAGAAGGATGAGAAGGAATTCAGAAGAAGAATTGAAGTAGATTTTGACTGGTTCTTCTGGGTTTTGGGTCCACTAGCTTCTTCCAGTTAGCTTTTTGGCAACAACCGCTTATGGACTAAAAAGGAGTTGAAAGATTATGGTTTTATGTTGTTGAATGTCCTTGGTTCATTCTTGATCAGTTTCAAAGTTTTTTGTTTATTTGCTTTACTCATGTTTTAGCAACATATTATGGTATGTACAAGGTCTGGTTACAATGAAGAGATTTGGGCTAGAAGGACCATTCTCTCTAGAGCAAAGAGCACCTGTATCGTTTTAATGCTTTCTTTTTACAGTTTTAATCTGTTTAAAAAACATTAATTTTTTCTGAAATATCTTTCTTGTATATATTGTTTTGTTAAAAAAAAAAAAAAAGGTTTTCATTGTAAAGGTTTGTCAACTGTAGTAGTGCATGGAGATGGAACATTACATTGTTTGATGTTAAACATTGTGGCTGGTTGAAGATGAACTAACTGCTTGTGCTCTCATTTACACACACACCACACACACACACACACACACACATCGGGGGATAGCGTATCGCTTTTATAAAACAGATGAACAATGCGGTGAGGTGCAGCTGCCTGTGAAATGGGGTTTCACTGCGTTGTACAATGGGGAAATGATAAGCTGTGGTTTTGATTGGGCTGATCAGGGCCTCCCTGACATTACATTTACATTTTAGTCATTTAGCGGACGCTCTTATCCAGAGCGACTTACAGGAGCAATTAGGGTTAAGTGCCTTGCTTAAGGGTACATCGACAGATTTTTCACTTAGTCGGCTCGGGGATTAGAACCAGCGACCTTTCGGTTACTGGCACAACGCTCTTAACCACTAAGCTACCTGCATAACCTCCATCCGGGCTAGTCCCTCTGCTCTCTACACCCATGCCTGAGTCATCATTTACATGACGCTGCAACATTATTTGGCAGCCTAGTTAGCGCCCCCATTAACAATACATAGGGAATACATTTTTTTGTTTATGCTCTGAAACTGAATGTATAGAATGAGAACAATATTTTTTTTTTTTTTATCAAAAAGTTGGCCCAACTCTCTAAATATAATCTCTGCTCCGTTTTCAGTCTCTTGACTGAGTAATGCTGATTTGTTCTGAGAAGTGGTCAGTGTTTCTGTGACCTGGATAGAGAGGAGTGGGTGGACACCAAATGGTACCCTATTCCCTATATAGTGCACTACTTAAAGGGCTCTGGTCAAAAGTAATGCACTATGTAGGGAATAGGGTGCCATTTGGGACGCTGGCAGTGTGTCTGTGAAGATTGTGCCTCTTCTAGGGATTTTAAATCGGTTTGCTACAGTGGTGCGTGGAGAAGTGGGTATCCTCAAATATTGCGAAACATTTCCCAAACAAGCCCACACGCCGAAGAAAAGGTGTCCTGTGTGAAGGAAAGGTGTCCTGTGTGAAGAAAAGGTGTCCTGTGTGAAGAAAAGGTGTCCTGTGTGAAGAAAAGGTGTCCTGTGTGAAAAATTCTACGAGAAACATTGACACTCTGAATGACCTAAAATGATCAATCCCATATTGGTCTTTAATAGTCAGGCCAACCCAAGCTGTACTGTGTTGTAGGCTATTAGTAGTCCTACTATTGAAATAGATAAATGAGGCTGTCAACTGAGTCAGAAATTCACTGTTTTCTGATTTTCCCAAATTTGTTCAAGTTTTTACTATCAAAGCCACACTTTATTAATAGAAAAACAATATTGGATGTTCTAAATCCATGACAATGCCTAAACCACATAAGGAGACTACATTTGAAGTCTGGGGAAAATCTAAGAAATTTAGATTTTTGAGTGTAGTTACCCTTTAATTCAAGTGTACAGGCCCCTAGCACTGTTGTTGGGTTACAGGTGTTTCTGTAGCACATGATATGGAGTTTTCTAAACAAAAGGCCACTGGATTGATGCAAGTAGTCATGATATCATTCTGCCAGGTAGGAATAGGCATAGGCTGTTGAAGGTTTTTGGGAAAGCCTTTCCATCTACCAGAAGACAGTTAGGCCTATCATTAGAATAGCTATATTTTTCCTGTTCCTTCATTTTTTGAAACCTGGACGTTTTACTTCATACAGTGCCTTCAGAAAGTATTCATACCCCTTGCCTTCATAAACTATTCATACCCCTCGACTTATTCCACATTTTGAATTCAATATGGATTTTTTAAAATGTTATAACTCATCTACACACGATGCCCTATAATGACAAAGTGAAAGTGAAAAGAGTGATAGGCGAGGGGCAGTAATGGGAATTGGCATGAGCGAAATTACATTTTTGAAGACCCGTGTACCCGCCAAAGAAAAGGCGGGAAATGCAGCAGAGTAAGAAGTACACTAAGAACAGTGGGCCTAATTCAACAATATTTTTTAATTTTTTTTATTTAACCTTTATTTAACCTTTATTTAACCAGGTAAACCAGTTGAGAACAAGTTCTCATTTACAACTGCGACCTGGCCAAGATAAAGCAAAGCAGTGCGATAAAAACAACAACACAGAGTTACATATGGGGTAAAACAAAACAAAGCCAAAAAAAAAATACAACAGAAATACATATATATACAGTGTGTGCAAATTTAGCAAGTTATGGAGGTAAGGCAATAAAATAGGCTATAGTGCAAAATAATTACAATTAGTATTAACACTGGAATGCTAGATGTGCAAGAGATGATGTGCAAATAGAGATACTGGGGTACAAATGAGCAAAATAAATAACAATATAGGGATGAGGTAGTTGGGCGGGCTAATTTCAGATGGGCTGTGTACAGGTGCAGTGATCGGTAAGGTGCTCTGACAACTGATGCTTAAAGTTAGTGAGGGAGATAAGTGTCTCCAGCTTCAGAGATTTTTGCAATTTGTTCCAGTCATTGGCAGCAGAGAACTGGAAGGAATTGCGGCCAAAGGAGGTGTTGGCTTTGGGGATGACCAGTGAGATATACCCGCTGGAGCGCAGACTACGGGTGGGTGTTGCTATGGTGACCAATGAGCTAAGATAAGGCGGGGATTTGCCTAGCAGTGATTTATAGATGGCCTGGAGCCAGTGGGTTTGGCGACGAATATGTAGTGAGGACCAGCCAACAAGAGCGTACAGGTCACAGTGGTGGGTATTATATGGGGCTTTGGAGACAAAACGGATGGCACTGTGATAGACTACATCCAATTTGCTGAGTAGAGTGTTGGAGGCTATTTTGTAAATGACATCGCCGAAGTCGAGGATCGGTAGGATAGTCAGTTTTACGAGGGCATGTTTGGCAGCATGAGTGAAGGAGGCTTTGTTGCGAAATAGGAAACCGATTCTAGATTTAACTTTGGATTGGAGATTCTTAATGTGAGTCTGGAAGGAGAGTTTACAGTCTAACCAGACACCTAGGTATTTGTAGTTGTCCACATACTCTAGGTCAGACCCGTCGAGTGTAGTGATTCTAGTCGGGTGGGCGGGTGCAAGCAGCGTTCGGTTGAAGAGCATGCATTTAGTTTTACTAGTGTTTAAGAGCAGTTGGAGGCTACTGAAGGAGTGTTGTATGGAATTGAAGCTCGTTTGGAGGTTTGTTAACACAGTGTCCAATGAAGGGCCAGATGTATACAAAATGGTGTCGTCTGCGTAGAGGTGGATCTGAGAGTCACCAGCAGCACCAGCAGCAATATCTACCTAAGGATGTTCTAAACTGTTCTTAATAAACTCCCTAAGAAAAGTCTACGTCGGATTCATGACCTGTTCTTAAACAACAGAATTGTTCGCACCTGTGTTCTTGGGATTGATGAATCCCACGTCTTCGTAATTGAAAGCGTGTGCCCGTTGTTCCTAATTAGCATAAGAAAACGCCCCGCAAATTCCCATATAAGGACGTGACACTTCAGGGCCGTGTGCAAGACAAATTGGAGAACGTCCAAAAGACGCACAGACCGTGGTGGTCCACCGATCACCAAACGAAAAAGGAACTTCAGTAATTCTGAAATAGAAATTCTACTGCAACAGGTAAATGCCAAACGAGGCATAATATTTAGTAGTGTTTCCTGTGGTTTTAAAGCCACCAACAAAACGGAGGCATGGGTGCCATTATTGGGCCCTATGTCAACAGCTTAATATCCTTCAAGGCCATCTCCCACCAGTGAATCAGACGGTAAGCAAGTCTTTCCGAATTTATACCATTTCATGCCACAAGTTAACTGAAAGCAACGGTGAAACCATTGGAAAGGAATTTTACACCAGTTTGTCAAACCAAATGTGGGCCTATGTGACTGAATGAGTCCTCGCCTGAATACCTAGTTTATTCAGTTTTAAATCCTATTGCTTTTGCAGTAGGCCTATATTGAACAAACTGAAACAAACAAAAAAAAATAACTGCACTGTGACTGTTACTTTCAGTATCATTTTTGTTATTTACAGATCTCCAATCCAGGCAACCCCTCTGAAGAGGAACCGGACACCAGTAGGCCTGCCTCTGTACCTGCCCCCAGGTCCTCTCCAACTGCACGTGTCATCTCCGATGCGGTCTTGGATAACCAGGAGCGGATTGCGCAAAGTCTCTGTGAAATCGCTTCTACTCAATATTGGCCACAATATCAGAAACACTCAGACATAAACACACATTTTAAAATATAAAGAACGCGCACTGAAACCTGTGTCATTTCATGTGTTTAATTCGTGGTATTTAAAGGACAAAACATAAAAAAACGAGAAATTATTTGTTGTCTGACTTCCACGCCAAGTCGGTTGTCTGGTCACAGCAATGGGTCAGGACGCACATCCTGGTGTGGAAGTGGAACACCACGCTTCATAGCGATGTTGTGTAACACAACATGCCATGATTATTCTGCAAACCTAAAAACGGTGTAAAGAGGATCAAAAGCTTGAAAAACTAAATAAAACGAATTGTTGGAATTAGATTATTCTACAACCATTTTTCAAACCTGAATAAAA